GAACATATGAGCTCAGCAAGCATAATCATAGTCCACAACATCATGCCCTTTCTAGTTATGGATGGTCTCTGGGCTTTCAGACTGCCTCACAAACGTAAACTAATTAACGTAAAGTAATATTATTATTGCTTTCCTGCTGGTAACCCAGCAGACTGCTTGCTTTCTTTCCTGTTTTTCCTATGGGCTGAGAAGGCTGCTCCTGCTAGAAAAGCAATGTGACTGTGTACTGGTTTGCCAGGATCCACGCCAGCTGTTTACTTACAGTTTCATTGCACTACGAGACCTTGTCTTCCAGATGTTTGTCCTTAGAGTTGTATCAGGAGAGTGGTCTATAGCTCATGGGAGGTGGATCAGCCCTCCCTCAGGAAGAAGTGGCTTATGGGGAAGGGGGAAGGAAAAAAGCTTTCTATGAAGCTGGAAGTAAATAGAACCGAAACAAATGAAAACGCTGCAGGAAAATGGCTTTGGAAACACTTCCCTGCCCTTATTTGCTGTAGAAACGCATCCTACCAAACTTCTCAGCCCCCCAGGTCTCAGCGCAAGATGTGGAAGTGTCCCCGTAGTGTAAACTCCCTCTAAAGACTGCTCCTGTTATCAGATGTTCTTTCAGCTCCTCTGAGTCATATGTGTGCTGTTGAGCGTGCGAGACCAATTAATGTTACCGTCCTTTTTTCACTTTTTTTATTCCGTTGATTTTTTTTTTTTCCCTTGAAAACAGAGACAATCGCATGCTTTTTTGCATTTTTTTTCCCTAAATTCTTAATCTCCCTGCCCCTCCTGCAGTGAACCTAATGTCCTCGATGACTCCCCGAGCCTGGCCACTGAGGGCAGCCTCTCTAGGTACAGTCTGAACACTACCTGTCTGTCAGTGTGTGTGCTGGGAAACGAGCCGTTCCCGATCTCCTCTGTCTCTTCCCTCACCTTTTGTCGCTCTTTCCATCTCTGTCTCTTGTGGCTCATCGATATTCAGGCCTGCGAGTCAAAGGTGTAGCACCCCACCTTCAGTTTTCAGCTTTGATTGCCAGTGACTTTCAGGAGGCTGTGGAGAAGGGGAAGGAAAAAGATGTAGCAAGTGGAATAGCGGGCTGGCCTCGGGGCTTTCCCCTTCTTTAGTAATTGCTTGAAAGGCATGAGAAAGATTATCCACGAGGCATTAGCTGGAGCCTGTTGTAAGCATTAGTCTGGAGGCTTACATAAAACAGACATCTGTTTTTCCATTCAGCTCACAACGCTGTCACCACAAAAGACTTAATAACGATATCAAGCTGTGTTCTTTAACATTCACTAATAAAACTAATTATGATCACTCCCGTGGAATATAGTTCTCCGTGGATGCCTTACAGTAATTCTCGTTATCTTTACAAAGTGTTTCCCATCTCAAATGACACCTGAGAAGGGTTGTTGGTGAACACCACTACTACATATTTAAAATTGCCCCGTCAGTGCCAGAGTTCAGGTCTAGCTGTTCCCCATGACCCGCGGGAACCTGCGGGCAGGGCGGTTTGCGTGCAAACACTGTGACGGCCGTGCCCGTCAGATGGGCCAGGAGTGAGCCTAGAAGGGAGGTCAGCTCTGTCCTGTTGGTCATCCTTACTGCCCTGCTGCTGCACTCACACCTCCCAGCCCACCCTCGCGAGGTCGGAGAGCTGTCCGTAGTCCCAAGAGCATCTCTGTTTCCCAGAAGAACACAGGTTGGCAACACGGAGGGTAAGACGCTACTGCGTTACTTCGTAGTCCCAAGAGCATCTCTGTTTCCCAGAACACAGGTTGGCAACACGGAGGGTAACACGCTACTGCGTTACTCTACCGCACCAGCTGAAGATGTGGCACGTGTGTGAATGGTTTCCATTTTGTTAGCTTGGCTTTAGATGTCGGCAGTGGCTTTCCGAGGTGGGGACAGGCTGCTTTGTTTGTTTGTTCGTTCTTCTCAGGTGACGAATGAAGAGTTTGTCATCGGTGGTGTCACTGAGATCATGCCATGATTCATGGTGTCCTTTGTGTCCGTGAATCCTGCTTTCGCAGGTCGGTCTCTAATTGGTGTTGGGAAAGACATGGGCGCGTTGGCAGAGACGGGAATATTGTTAGCTGGTTTCGTGATAAAGCAAAACGGATTGCGTGGTCATCTGAGCATGTTTTGGGGCCTAAAGAGAACAGAAGTCACTTAACCAAAGAGGTTAAGTGCTGTCTCTTAAGTAGAGCTAAAAACTCACTCCAGTTGAGGAGGATGACAAAGGAGAAGGTCCACATCGGAGTTACAGCCATAGTGACCCAATACCAGGTTACATAAGTGTTGAATTTTAAATGTTTTGGTCTTGTTAAGTCGGGGGAGTCACTCCTAAGAACGGTGGTGGGGCTGAGGAATACGAGACAGCTAAGTCAACAGATGAGTTCAAAGGCAATAATTTATTTTGAACCCTGAAACGTAATCAGCTGTACAGTGGGTTCCTGCTAATTTCTGTCACACCAATTTTCTCCACCCTGCTCCATGGTACAGAGATTTCCTTAGGCAAAAGGGTTAACAGATGTACCTGGGAGCCCGTCCTGTTGAGGTTCCATGTTCTTGTCAAGGAGCGGGCGCTAACATCCCAAGGAGAGGCGTCAGGACTGCAAAGCCTTGGAAAGAATGAAGACAGGGAAATACTGCAAATTTTTAGAAAAAGGCTAGGTTAGATGTTCTGTGAGGATGAGAGGGTGTTTCAACCGCATTGTTAAACGCACGAATTGGGTTCCTCCTCTAAAGGACAGAAGTAATAAAGCAGATGTTGTAGGAGCTGATGGTGCTGTGTGGGGATCACAGGGCAGAATTAATGTGTTTTTGTATTCAGGAACATTAGTTTTGAATAAAGCCGGCTTGAGTTTTCCTTACAGAACTTTGATTTCGGCTGGAGCACAAGGATAACAACTGTTTAGGGTTGCCTTCTGAATTCAAAAGACAATGTTTAGTCATAACTGACATAAAGAAATAAATCAGATGGAGACTAGACCCTTATGGAAGGCAGGAGTTTTAAATAAATTAAATAAATAGTGACAAACACAAAAAAAAGAATAAAGCCTGTTTCCCTTTGTTGTATAGCAATTAGAGGCAGCCATGTAGAAGAGCGGGGAAGGCAGGAAGGGGGACAGCATTTAAGTGCTCAGAAGTAAAGAGATAGCACGGGGTCCAGGGCTGAGGAGCATATGTGTCCAGCACTGGGATTTGTTGTGGTTGTGATCTGAGAGGAGAGGATATTTTCCCAAATCAGAAAGGAAGAAGCGTGAGAAGTCACTGCGATGGAAATCTGTTGCACAAACACGTTTCCCTTTAATGTTTGCCATTATGCCCAGAGTAGCTTAATGGTGCCTAATAGGGAAAATCAGAGTGAATTCACATTGCCAAGGCAAGCGAAGCAGATCTAGCACTAACTGGGCTAGGATGTGTCTGGGAACACAAGAGCTGGAGTTCATCTGCGTTTTAACCCATTCTCCACCGGCCTCTGCCCACTAACCCTCTCATTCAGATGTCTCGGGACGCAAAGTGTGTACGTTCTACCGGAACGGCGTGGCAAGCATGTCCATCTTTTAAACAGATGTTTAAACTCCTTGCTTCCTTTGTCTCTGCTTTGTTTTCTTCATTGTTCTTTCTTTTTTTTTCCGGCTGCATGCTTCCTCGTAATTCATGAGCACCACTTTTTATAATTGCCAGCCCGAGAAAGTTTCTTTTAGCCCCCACTGTGTGACTGCACTGGCTGTCGTTTCTCGTAGTGCTGGCAGCATGCTTCCACGAAGTCGGGGTGGTTTGATCTTTTGCTCACCTGTCTCTGCCCTAGACAGATAAACCCCCTGAAAGAGATACTCAGAGAGTGACGGAGCATCTTTGTGTTGGGCAGGAAGAACTTCTGGTTTGTTATTCCCGAATAAATCTGGCGTGTGTACTGCTGAAAAACCCCTCTTTCCGATTCTGTTGCCACAGGAGGGAAAGGTACTGCCAGCTCAAATGGCATTTGATTCAGTGTTCCTCGATTGAGTCCCACAGGCTGCCAAAAAACCAGTATACTCCTGGTCAGGTCTGGTAAACAAGGAGAGACAGAAAAGGAGGGAGGGAGGGCTGCGCACAGCCGACAGCCTGCCTGCCACGCTAATTTTCAGGGAAACAAGATCAGTAGTGCTGTTCTTTGATGTGAAAAAAAAAAAAAAACAAAACAACAAACCCTCACAAATTCTCATGAAGTGAAAGGTTATATCCGAAAATTCAGTTACTCCTCTGAAATTTGTGGTCTTTGTGATTCTCTCTCTCTTTCCTTCCCTTCTTCAAAATTTGGGATAGAAGGCAAAAAGACAGCCACAGCGGGACTCTGCTGTGCGCAGGCAGCTCTGCAGAATCCGGCTGCTCTCAGACCTGCCTGTTGCCTGCAGTAGATATCTGCAATTTCAGCTCATAAGATCATGCCAAATTATACCAATTTGTGTAATGATTCAGTACTGGAAATAACCATCCACCCGCTCACTAAACTCGTTTCACTTATGATACAAGCCAGGCTGAAAATCCCAGACTCCAGCAGGAAGACACAAAGCCCAGCCTTTCGTTTGCTCCCCTATTGTTTGTCTTCAGTGCACGGATCATTCCATGGGAATCGTTTTTTCCCTCATGTACAGCCTCTGTGCCCTCACGCGGTCCGTGTACTCCTGTTACCTGTTGACTCGTTCAAAGTGCTGTCATGACACATGTGATGTGAGGTCGTTCCACCACTGCGCACAGTGTTTCGCACGGAATGGAACCATCGTCTTTCTGCTGCAGACAGTGATGTCTCCTCACTCACGGAACTAGGAGTTACTCTTCCTTCATCAGAAATTCTAACAGTGTGCTCAAAAGCCAATAGAAAATTATTTTCAAGACCTTCTCCTGCTAATTCCTACTTAATTCACACACTGGTAACTACTCTAAAAACTTCTTAAAATTCAGAGGAATCGTTTTTTATGCAATCCTAGAAATGGAAGATTAAGAAAATTCTACTAGCTGTAGTGTTGGGTAGTCTGGGTGACAAATCTACAGACTAATTTAAGCGCAGTGTCTTTGCTTCCATGCGGAATGATGTGTTACTTCTGGACCTACCGGTCATATCTGCTGCAGTCACTGTCTGGGTCAGGAGCACAGTCCTACTGACAGGAAGGGACTTTGAGGACTCTGCTTATTCAGAGGCGGGTGTTTGCGTGATGTTTAGGATGCTTTGGATGTAAATCGTGCCAAAACCCTGCGTAAAAGCTGGAAAATATGTTCCAGAGGCTGGTGATCTCATTTGGAAGAGCTGTCTGAGGGAGAAAAGGACTCAAATATATCTTGTTTGTTCTGGCTTTGAGCTCGCAGCGGCTTTTCGTTTTTTTCCAAGCCACTGCAGCTGCGGTGAGATTGCCGAGGGCATGCCGAGGATTATTTGGCTGTGGTCAGACAATCAGAAGAGAAACAGCTTCAGGGTCTTAAGATGTCTCTCTCCTTGAAGTTGCCCATAGTCTCCTCAGCAGAGCTGGTAGAAACACGTGTATGGTTTAGTGCAAAGTCTGGCTTTAGTTTAAACTGCTAAGGGAGGAAGGAATAGGGCTTTCAGGTCAGGTAGCCAGACTTGGACCTGGAGCAGACCAGGGAACGCTCATGTTCTGCTCCACCAAACCTTCTAAGGGCAATAACTTCTGCCAAAGCGAAGAACGAGCTGTCCAGGAGACATAATTTGATAAGCCTCTCTGCAGACATCTTCCATGTCCTGTCCAACCATGTCCTCAGGTTTGTCTTCTTCCTCCGCTCCTGTAAGGTCAGATGATAAACCCTCACTCTGTTGGTGGTACGGAGCTCCTCCGGGGAGATCCAAGGAAAATATCTAGGGAAAAGAATGTTCTTTTCCTTTAGATTAATGCATGCCAAAGGCAAAAGGGACTGTGATACTGAATCTTCAAGAACGCACACCAGATATAGCTGGAAGTTGCTTTAGTAGGACCTGTGGCTCAGGGGATTCCGGTCTGTCCCGAATAAGCAACTGCCTGATTTAAAAGAAGTCCATCTCCAATGTTAGTTGCTATTGTAACCATCTGTCTCTCAGACATAGTTCGTTCAGCTGAAGTGTTTTGTGACCACTGTCTGCTAAACGACCGATTTTTAAAGGTTTGGAGGAATCCAGCACTTTGATAAAAATGAGGGGAGGGCGGGTGGTGTTTTGTGTTCAGTAGATTCCATGGGCAGGGGAAGGGTAGAATGAGACGGTACGTAGCGAGTATGTTTTGTTGCTAAAGGTTCTTTTACTGCAGATATTCAGATGTTTTGTGCCAAGATATTAAAAACTAAAAAGCTGCGTTTATATATATATATAAAATTTACGTTTACTTGCCTTTTTTGTTTGATAGCCACAAAAAGACTTAAGGCTGCAAGTGTTGAGTGTGGGGCCTTGTTCACATAACTCATGCATCCATTATGTGAATGGATCCTTTGTCACTTTGTGTTTGTTTTTTGTTTGTTGACTTAAACCAAAATGAAAACCAGATGACAAAATTGTGATGAGGCTGTGGAGTCTGTTGGGGAGGAAAAAAAAACCCAGCTTTTACAACCTTGTCCTTGAAAAAGGAGAAGTGGACAAGAAGGCTTTTGAGCCGGCGAGCTGCTGTTCTTGCCTTGGTCGATGTGGCAAAGGATGCAGAGAACTGAGTGTTGCTCAGTGGGATGCATCAATCAATGACTGAAAACTGAAATCGGCAGTTATTTGTATTCGGATGCTACCTGTGCGTGGCCAAGTCCTGAATGCCATGACTCCACCTCCCACCCTTCCCTAAGCCCCGGAAGCCACAACCGAACAGACACATGTCCCCCCGCCATCCTTCAAAGACAGTACCGCTCTTTGAAGTGATTGTGCCATTAGTGGTTGGTTGGTTGATTGATTTTAGTCATGATCGCCAGGACACCAGCTGCTTGTACAGGGTGCTTCTGTGCTTGGCCTAATGCTGTCAACATCTAACAGGGTGGCAAGCGTGCAGAGCGAGCCAGGGCAGCAGAACCTCCTTCTGCAGCAGCCCCTGGGGCGGAAGAGAGGCCTGCGGCAGGTGAGGACATGGGGAGTGAACAAACCTCTCTTTCTCTTTGGGTTGGTTTGGGTTTTCTCGTCTGTGTCTGTTCTGAAATGATTCGTGGATGTGACATGTCCCTTTTACCTCATTTGTGATACACTCCTGCAGTCCGTGGAGTTGGCAGGAGCCATGGCACAAGTCGTAGCTGTGAGGCCCGACAAGTCCTTAAGAGAGGAGAGGCTCTTTGTTTTGAATTCCCCAATCTTTTCTTTTGCAGGCTTTTTTTTTTGGCTTTTTTTTTTTTTTAATTAAACAATGGTCACACAATCTGTATCGCGTTACATGCAGTATTGAAACTCAAAAGGCACAAAATCCAGAAACTCATGTATGAAGGAGATGTCTGAGCCATGGGAACCTTAAAATATCTGCTAAAAGTAGAGTGAATGGACATCTAGAGGAACAGACAATGTCGGTCTGCTCTCCTTACGGAGAAGGAGTTGTGTAATACGTGAACGTACGTCAGCCTAACTCTCTCTTCCAATGTTTAGCTTCGACGACCACTGCTGTCGCGTCAGAAGACTCAGACCGAGCCTCGGAGCCGTCACGGAGCTCGACTTTCCACCACGCGGCGCAGCATCCAGCCCAAACCCAAACCTAGCGGTAGGGCAGCGCGCCGTTTGCAGAACCAGCAGAAAATACCGTATTGTTGTTTTAGCTAGAGCGAAAAGTCAGTATGTTGTTAGTAGTCCACATTAAAGTGAGGTCCCAGCAGTTCAATCCTTTCTCCTAGTAAGTGGATACCCTCTGAGAAAATCAGCCCCTTGAAACACTCTGATGGTTTCTCCAGAGGCTTTCGAGGTGAAACTGGACATGGACAGTGAACTATCATGTCTCCTAGAGATGTGGAGAAATTAGGTGCCAGGTGTCCTCTCTTCAGGATGCCTTGTCCAAAACGTCCAGATGTGCAAATTTTGAAGCTGCTATTGAGAACAGTAAGCTTAGCAGCACAGAGTTTCAAGGTTTGTCTGTGGAAACAAATGTGGGACTGTTCTAGTCCCTGCCATATATTTCCAGGAGTCAGCACTGCCAAGCAGAGCAGGTGGCCCTAATTCCGTACCATCTGAAGGGAGCAGTTAACTTTGGAGGAAACACCTGGAAGAGCAAAGGTCGCTTGTGAACCTTCTGGGTTTCTAACCACTCAGCCAGGACTCTGCTGGGCAACAGCGCTGCTGGAGATGTTTGAAACACAGAAGTTGACCCAAAATAATTAAGCGCAGGAGCAGGGAGATCAGTTTTACTGTGAAGTTTTAGTGTCGCTGTCTTCACCTTGTGCTGTTCTGTTATTCCCGGATGAGGGACTGCAGGAATGAGAGGCAGTCAGCTGCCCTCTTTCTTTTCTCAGATTTCCTGCAAAACCTTGGGCAATCCCCTTATATATTTGCTTCTCGGTTTTCCTTGTTTAGTTAAGGGCAGAAATGCCTAACTCACATGGGAATTCAATTCAGTATATTCTTCTGGGATGGAAAGCTGTTACGGGTGGCATTTATCTCCCCAAGGCATGACAAAGTTGGGTGGGTGACCAGTCTTCAGGAGATCCCTGACTCTGGCTGTGGCTTTAGAGGAAGCCTCGGGTAAAAGGCTTTTCGATCAGGCTCCAGTTAGAGAGCTTAGAAGGTCAGAATGCATCGTGAATCCTGTCTGAGCTGTAAGAACCCCAGGGATTCTCTCCCTTCTTGTCTTGTTGTGTTTTCCTTCCCAAACTGCAGCATTTTAACACTCAGTTTTCCGGGCTCTGTCCCTTTCAGCGGAGCAGAAGCGGTCGGTGACTTTCACTGAAGCCCAGCCGGAGCCCACCGCCGCCTGCCCAGGGGACGCGCCGGCGCCAGCAGCCCCGCAGCAGGGCTGCAGCCGCAGCAGCCCCCAGGCCCCCGGCACGCAGGAGCCGCCCAGTAAACCAGCCCTGACTTCCTCGCCTGCCCTGGTGGCAGCGGATCTCCACGGCCAGAGCAGCGGG